GGTACAGGTCATCCTGGAACAGGTCCGACTGCGCCCCCCCCAGTGTCAGAGGGGCAGATGGGACACTCCTGGGGACCCCCACACAGCCCCCATGGGGTCCCCCATACCCAGCCTCCATGTCCCACCCCTGGACCACCCCAACCAGCCATCATGTTGCACCCAGGTACCCCGCACAGACCCCAGGGGGACCCCGAACCCAGCCACTGTCTTCCACCAAGGACCCCACCAGAGTGACTGAGGACCCTCACCCAGCCCCCATGTCCTGCCCAAGACCCCTACCAATGCACCTGGGGACTCCTCCAGCCACCCTGATTGATGACCCCCACCCAGCCCCCATGTTCTGCCCAGCAACCCCATGCAGCCTCCATGGGGTCCCCCATCAGCCTGACTGGGGACCCCCACTCAGCCACATCCCCTTGCCCAGGGTCCCCCACCCTGCTGCCATGCCCCAAGGGGGAATGTCCCAGTCCCATCATCACCCAGTCCCCACCAACCTTCCTTGGCACCGTCATGATGATGGGCTCACACTTGCGCTCGTGCAGCTTGTAGAACCTGCCAGGGAAGGGGGGCAGAGGGGGTCATGAGGTGGAAGAAGTGCAGGAGGGGTCCCCCAGTTGTCCCCATGCCCACCTGGCGATCTCGCACTTGCTGACGTCCAGCCCACGCTTGGGCATCCAGCCCATGCCCCGCTGGGGCTCCTTGCTGGTGAAGGTGTTGAGGAAGTGGATGTAGGGTGGCTCCTCCGTGATCTCAAAGTATCGGATGCTTGAGTCACCCTGGGGACACAGCATTAGCGGGGTCTATGGGTGGGGGGACACATGGGGGACACACAGCAGGTGAGGTGGGGGACCAGCGTGGGGCTGTACCTTGCCACAGACGTAGACCACGTTGGTGTCGGGGTCATAGAAGGGCAGCAGAGCCCCGTTGCTGGAGTCCAGCTCCTGCAGCCCCATGGGCTCCTCCAGGTTCTCCTGTGGGGCAGCGTGTCAGCCCCATGGGGCACCCTAACACGGTCCCATGGGGCACCCCAACACGGTCCCATGGGACCCCCAGGGTGCTCCTCACCGTGTCCCACAGCGCCAGCTGCCGCTCGCTCATTCGGCTAAAGCCGGTCGTGAAGATCTTGCCGTCAGCCAAGAAGATGGCTCGCATGGGCCGGGCCCCCTCGTGCGCTCGTTCCTTCTCCTGGGGAGCAGACAAGGGGTCAGGAGCGCCCTGGGGAGGGGCAGCGGTCCCCTCAGGGACACGGGACAGTGAGCAGAGAACAGGGGCACCCAAGGGACAGGGGACAGTGGGCAGCACCAGGGGACAAGGGCAGCACTGAGGAGTCTCCCCTTGAAGACCAGGGCCCTGGGGACCCAGGCAGGGTGACAGGTCCCCTCTGGAGACTCACGGCCACCACGGTGCCACGGCGGGGGGCGATGACGCGGACGCTCTTGGCCTTGCAGGCCGG